CAGTGAATCCAGTGTAGAAAATCCAGTTTCGATAGGGGGGGGGGGTTAAGCTCTGCATCCAAACAGCCGCGCGTTCGGATGCAGACCAAAGGTTCTAAAACCTCTTCTTGGTTCTTTCGGTAAAGTCACGTAGAAGGGAAGTAATAAAATTATAAAAATAAAACATAATAAAATAATATAATAATATAACAATATTACTTCCCGTCTACGTGACTTTACCGAAAGAACCAAGAAGATGAATCCCTGCAGTCACGAAAGCTTTAAATCGAAAGTTCTAAAACCTTTCGAGAATTCCAGCCCGGTGATAAGTCTCAACCCCTTAGTAGGTCGCAATCCAGCTCAGAGGTGTTACCTATTGAAGTGAATTCCACACATTCTAGATTTGAAGCTTTCGTGACTGCAAGGATTCATACTCTTAGGTTTTTTCGGTAAAGTCACGTTGGTAAAAAATTAATAATAATAGAAATAAAACAAATAAAAATAATAATATAAATGATTATAATAATAATATATATAATTATTATTCCTATTAGTTTCTATTTTTTTTTTATTTATTTTTTTTACCTACGTGACTTTACCGAAAAAAACCTAAGAGTATGAATTCCACACAGACAGACACACGCACATAAGCAACCCACACATAACCATTCAATATATAAATGGCCCACCGCGTGTAAATGCGTAGTCAGCTATTGTTCCGCGCGCGCTCTCTGAGTCAATCTGACCTCGTCAATGCCAAAGTAAAAGCGGCGATTCTTGCTCGCGTGACCTTTACAAAGGGCATTCCTCGCTGCCACGTGCGTTGCAATGCCGGCCGGGAGAAGCCCGTGACTAATCTACGATCGCCACAGCCAACCGCGATATTTGTATTTTTGTCTATTGTGTTTGTGCTAAACGCCAAATATATATTAAAAAAAAACACGCACTTCCCCCCTTGTTACGCGAGCCGGTACATTGGCTAATAACTGGCCAATATTGATTGACGAACACACAGGAGGTGCCTGCGTCTTGCCTTCGTGATGTAATGCACCACCACAACATCCCTTGTTGTTGTCAAACTATATTTGTTTTGCTCGCCAGCGTTAATGTTTCTGTTGTCGTGAGTTCTTTCGTCATTTACAGAATTGAATTATCTATCGCCCGGTGTCCGATGGATTTTGTTTTCGTGCCATCCGCGTGCGTGATACTGTCGTCGTCCTTGACCACTTGAGACGGTCCATCACCATCGAACCCAGGGCTCCGCTTCTGTCTGGTGCAGGGGTCGGCAACCTACGGCTCCGGAGCCGCATGCGGCTCTTTACGGGCTGCTTCTTGACGATGAGTACGTATGTACTCAGATGCATTGCGGCTCTTGAAATACTGAATTTTGTACCGAATTGGAAAGAAATGGCTCTTCTTGTTATTTTGGTTGCCGACCCCTGGTCTGGTGAAACATCGAACACAGCCAGCCTCTTGTACCGACCGCGTCTTCCCAGCTCGTGAGCTACTGGCAGTTGTCACTTCAGATTGTTTCTCTGCTCTGTATTGGCCAGTGGGCCAGTGCGGTCTCTATATCGGCCGGGGTCGATAGCCAGGGAACCAGTTCCGGCTAAGCCTCGATGTCCTGTCCCACCACATCTTCACTCGCGCAGTGCCAATACTACGTTGCGAAAACAATCCCGGGCAGTGCCGGTGTTGAAACCACGTGCGGCTGTGCGCGATCAGCGATTTCAAGGCTCTGCAGATCTGACAACTCACAGCCTCTAGCAACAGGGAGACGACAGAAAAAAATAAAAATCATAACCATTATATATTCACTGCTGAATGAAGCCCCCCCCCCCTTCTCTGAGCCGTACCAGGAGTGGGAAGTTTGTTTGGCCGTACGTCACCACGCTGGTCAGCGCAAGTTGGTGTAGACGAGGGACATAGATGCGGGAACGTAGAAGTACAGTACAATACAACGATGTATTTTGCATGCACCGTCTTCTGCTGCTCAGGACGGAGGCAGCCGGGCGCGGTTTTGGCCACCCACCCCCTCGTGTGCCGTGCCGGCCTTCATAAGTGCTCGCCAAACAGCACTTGCCCCAACAGTCTGTTAAGGCTATACGGGGATCTTTGTTTTTGTTTGTCGTGTACATATGCATACCACTTTGGGATACATTCATCCAGCAGTAGTTAGAACATGGCCGATGATGGCGATGTGGCCAACATCGGCGAGCGGTATTGGAGCCTGTCACGGGCCTCCCCTAGGTCGACTCAGCCTTAAAACATATACTGTAGTACACGACTTTCCCCAACAGTCTTCTAAGGATACACGTGGTGGCACATTTCTCTGTGTCACTCTCACACAGCTGCTGCTGTCAACTGCTTGCCGGTCGTTCATCGCACGACGGCCCTCGCCACGCAATGGAGTCTAACCGGGCAGAGGGGGACCCTGATGGGCTTGGTGGGTCTGTGTCGGGGCCGGGGTGAGGCGAGTCTGGGCAGGGTCGGGCTGAACGGGCAGGGCTTCCCCCCCGCCCCCACCCCTGACCCCACACTTGCCGTCGTGGTGGCGGTGACGCAAGAGGCGCCGTTCACTTGCAGGCCGCATCGAGGGCGTTGAGCAAGGGCTGAACGAGTGCGCAAAAGCAGCGAGCGTGGGTGGGGAGACGGATCAATCAGAGGCGTCATCTTGATCCTCATCCAGCAGTGGATAGATTATGGATGATGATGATTATACTATGTAACACGATTTTTGTTCCTGAGTAGTAAGTGTTATTTTCTAATTGATTATGCCTCAAAAGTATAGAAAATGGCTATTGTTCCCAAACAAACTTTGCTTTTGTGACCAGGACTTTATGTGAACGAAAGACACAAATGCACACCACGTTTTCTCATTGAAAATAGGTAAAAGTTCTAAATATCACTATCCTTGTTACACAGTTATTAGTGGAATTACGCTAAGAGAGATTAAAGAAGGACACGTGGATGCACATTGCGGGTATCTGGTGCCGTGTGCAGCGGTTAGCCAGCTGCGGTACGAACCCAACCACCCGGGTTCGATTCCCGCTCGCGGTCAACACCGGGTGACGATAATCTGAATCTGTCCTGGGCCTCCCCTAGGTCGACTCAGCCTCAAATGAGTAACCTGGTGCGGTGTGTAGTAAACATCTCCACTGGGGGAGACAAAGGCGGCCACCCTCCTCGCTCCGCTGCCTCCCGGAACAGGTGCCCGTGAACACCACGTGTCGCAACAGTCGTGGTTTGGCTGTCGAGGGGTAGATCTGTGCCTGCCAGGGGGCGCGGGGCTCGGTGCAAATCGCACCCCGGATACGTCGTTCCCTAGGTCCGGCACGCCTCTGCCGCCAGGTATGAATCGTCCGCGTAGCGCGTAAATCTGCACGCGTTTCACACTCCAGGCCACGTGTTCCATACTCCAGGCCACGTGTTCCATACTCCAGGCCACGTGTTCCATACTCCAGGCCACGCGTTCCGCCCTCTGTTTGTCGCAAGCGCCGTGCCACACGAACTCCATCGCGACCGGAGCGCGCTGGGCGTGATTCTGGCACGAGGCACGTCGTGATCTCCATCCTCGTCGTCACCGTGACTTACACGACACACACAACTCAAGCCAACGATTCTCAGCGAGCCTTGACTACCACCACCATCCTCGTCGTCACCGTGACTTACACGATACACACAACTCAAGCCAACGATTCTCAGCGAGCCTTGACTACCACCATCATCATCATCGTTGTTGTTGTCACGACTATCATTCTCATCAATATTGGCAGCGTAATAGCCACAATGTGATCATCATTATCATCATGTTTCCATTATCATCATCATCACCACCACCACCATTGTTATGATTCTCATTGTTACTACGTTATTTAAAATTGTGCGTATATTGCAAAGCTCTCTATTTACTAGGATGTTTCGTGGTCTCCCGTCCGTTCAGCTGCCCATTATGTTCCCTCAAGAACTCTGAATTATATTCACTCACTCACAGTTGCATCCAGTTGTTCAAACCTTGCTTATGTCGCTTAATTCGCCGTCTCCCCCTTTCCTGCACTGTACCTACAATTCTCCCAAGTCAAGACACGGTTAGTCTATCGTTATCTCATTACACGGCCAATATATCACAATGCCCCATCTAAAATTGTTTTTATTTTTGTGTACGTGAACATGCGTGTTGCAAATCATTCAGACTATTCCTAGCTTCGCGAGTGTATATAATATTGCAAATATGTGCGTGGAAAGACAAATATATGGCCACTATATATGTGCGCGTGAATATATTATGTATGTGCATGCATTATATATGACCGTTAAATGTGTCCGCGAGTCACCGTGAACTGTGCATGGGATTGTATAATCCCCTACACCAGCTAGAGCGGTCGAAATATTGTCCATCCGAGCGGTGTCTTTGCTACAAAATAAATTCGTAAATCAATCGTGATGGTAAAGTACGGTCAGGGCCGACACACGGTTTTGTGTAGGGCCATCATCATCATCATCAAGCAGCAGTTTGACAATCTGTAGACATCACGAGGCGACCCTGGTGTGGGATATAACTCAGCGAGGTTCACTCAGCGGTGTCGTTGGGTGCACAATCGATTCGTTCAGGCTGCAGTAGGTGGCGAGGTAGTGTGGGCATGCCCCAACCACTTTCAAGACGTCTGTGAAGGTCAAATACCGTCTCTTGTGGAGGAAGGGGCTACCTAGAGCTCTCCATAGTCGTGATCTTTCTGCCAGCGGTGACGTTAACAAGCAAATTGCAGGGCGTCACCTTTACCATCATTACAATCACTCCAGCGAGTTATTTGGCGACGCTGCTGCTGCTGCGTTGGCATTGGTTCACAATCACGATTAGTAAAAATAAATAACCCAACGCGTTCATAAGTCAATTTATAATAGGCGACGTTTCAGGCAATGAACCTTCAGAGCACGTGGCCAATGCAACCCAGAGGGCGCCACCTGCTCGTTTCCTCCTCCCATGCCGCACGTAAAACAAGACACCAACACTTTCGTGAAAAGGTATTTTTTTTTATGTAAAGTTTTTTTTTTTAATGTACAATTTTGAGGATTGTAAAAAAAGGGATTCTGAAATGCACGCGCAAACATCGCTTTGTGTTAAATAAATTGCATAAATACACGAACTTAAGATAACATTGCACGGAAGGGAAAAAACTCAACTATAACCATAATACGAGTTTATATATAAATAAAAAATTATGCCAAATGGTTGAACACAAAACCAAACAAAGTTATAAATAATGACACAAGTCATGAAAACGTCCACGTCATGACGATTCATACATCGTCGTGTGTGTGAACCTAGCCTGGCACGGCTGCAACTCCAGCGAGTACACACCGGCGAATATGCATTGGAGGTGCAATCTGGGTAGCAAAACGCGTAATCGAGGATCATCATCATCATCATCCCTTGGTGCAATGCAACACACGTGGGCGGGATGAATCGAAATCGCGTGTCGGGGACTCACAACCGCTTGAGGCCGCTACATTGATTGCAAAATCAATTTAGTTTCTCTTCAAAAAATACCCCAGGTAAGAACACCAACTCGTGGATCGTGACTTTAACTTTTGAGTCTCAAAAAACATTAACCGGCAGGACTCGTGCGTCAACAAAATTCACTTGACGAGATTGTCGAGACTTGAACACAACAAAAGGGGGTTGACAAATCCTGACCCCCCGTCACAAACACACCACGTGTCCTTAATATGAAAAAAAAAAATCACAAGATCCACACGATGCGAGAAACACTGAGAGTCTGCACACGCATTGCCCACGTGGGCGAGTTGACGTTTCAAGTCGCCTCTGTTGCAGCCAACAAAACAAAACTACAGTAGTAGGGATATTGCAGACATTGTTTAACCTTGTCATTGTTTAAATTAGGCCAATAAAAAATATATACACAATGCACACAAAACGCTACCACCATCCGACTGTTCGTTAAGATTACCAAGCATGTTTGAACGCACACGCAGTCGAGATCCACGACCACATTTAGTCACAAAAAAAAACAGCATTTGGAATATCATCACCACAAAGCATCATCATCATCATTTCGGCGTTGCTAATAATGCATCAAGAACTGCCGTCGAAAGTGGCTGTACGCATGCGCGGAGACTCCCAACCCCACCCCACACATTCCCACCCACGTGCCTGCCGTTAACCGTGCGGGCGGAAACGGTCCAAGTCGAGAACGAGTTTCCCCAAAGCCACCAAAGCGTCACAGTGACGCACAGACCCACGGAGAGCCTCCACCCCCCTCCCTCCTACCACAGCCCCACTCTTTCCTCTGCCCTGCCCAGGCTTGTTGAGCAATACTGTGGATGCGCTCTGTGTTTGCGTGGTGCACCATAAAACCTGCTTAGGAGTTATGTTCATGATGCTGCCACGATTGTGCCTTTGTGTGTGAATGTGCATCGTGTGAGAGTTGAATTTTCTCTCACACGCACATTTAATATTATTCACGAGAAAGTCCACGAGTTGTCCACCTCGTGTCTTCTTGAATGAGTGTACTGCAACAGTGCAAGTCCGTACCACAAAAAGTGTATTTTGTTATCTTCTTAAATCGAGTTCCACCCATCCCACTTGGGGCACTGGATTCCGCTCTTGTTGTCGAGGTTCGCCGTCGCTACTATGCTCTGTGCTCGATCGAAACATCCCCTACAACTTCCACATCGGGGTGTCGAGAGCGTCTCTCCTCCTTGGCGCAGCCGGAGCAACAACAAAAAACTGACGGAGATATCATCATCACGATCGGCGACCTTCCGCGCTCATCATCCTCCTCCTCTCGATCATCGTTAACATTTTAATAATCGTGCTCCCTCTTTTTAAATCATCATCATCACTAATCACCATCAGCATCATCATCAATATTCTGATCCCTTATCATCTTCATCTTAACTCATCAATATAATCGCGGGGCCATTTGGGAGCGTTGCAACTGCTCATCTCTGCTCACCGCTGCTGCCGCTGCTGCTATATCGACATAGCTGCTGCTGCTGTAGCCACTGCTGCTGCTGCAGCCGTTGCCCATCGTGGCTGCGCCTGGCCGCCTCATCGCTCGGCGAGGTTCAGACACGGCACCCACTGATTGTTGTGGCGGCTGTCTGCGCAGAACGCCGCTACGGTGCGCAGCGGCGCCGCCGGCAGGGGCGCCGTGAGCAGCAGGCAGTGCAGGTCTCGGGGCTCGTCAGCCGCGTAGGAGAAGTAGGAGGAGGTGGTGGTGGTGGTGGCGGTGCAGCACGACGCATCGTCGCCCTCGCAGCCTGCGGCTCCCACCACGCCGCTGGGAGCGCTCACGCGTCCCGCGCCAACACCGCCGCTCATCGCGAGCAGCTGAGCGAGACGCTCCACGCCGCGCACTCGGATCACATCGATGTCGTTGTCGCCGCAGAAGGCCTGGATGAGCGTGAAGTGGATCTGCAGGGCCAGGTCAGACTCCTCGTCCGCGTCGGCGGCCAGGAGACAGAGCACCACGCTGTCTGGGTCACTGCGGAGCCAAGCGGCGGGAGGAGGGTCACGGTGTTAGACGCTTTGGTATGAGCGGCGCGCGCAGATGGATATCGCTGGACGCGTGCAGAGTGCGGTGTGCATCCGCGCGCTGCCCGTGCATTAAACTGTTTTAAAGTTTGAGACAAATCTCGCGATGTGTGTGTCCCACTCCCCCCCCCCCCCCCCGCTAGATCGACTCGGCCCTAAATACATACACAGTATGTTGAACTTATTGCGCACCGCACGTAGCCAACCGTGTTTGTGAGAGCAATCCACGCAACATTTAAAAGATGCAGGAAGTGTGTGTGTGAGCTTACATGTTCAGAAGTTTGGCCGCTTCGTAAACGCCGACGGTGAGATGGCCGTGCCTGTTGGAGCCCAGTAGGAGGTCCTCCAGCGCCTGCTCAACAGCTCCCACGTGCTCCATGCTGCAGACGAAACGACGAGCACAGCACGCAATGCGGGAGGGGGGGGGGGAGAGGTGATGATGATGCACGGTACGAAAGAAGCCCAAGTATACGTTGCACACGAGAAACGGTTGTTGTTGAAGTTTAGCAAAAAAAAAAACACAGTTAAAAAAAACGTTGACAAAAATAAACACAATTTGCCGCACGTTTGCAACGTGCAAAGCGAAACGCTGCGACCTGCTTGGTGAGCGGCACACGGAGTGGGGCGGCGTGGGGGGTAAACTTGCAGAGAGCGATGTTGCAAACCACCCCGAGTCTCCGCTCGAACGCGGCGCCGTAGCTAGCGAGTGACCCTGCACGCAAATTGCGAACTATCGGGACTGCGACAGCCCCCCCCCTACTCCAATCTCTAGCTCGCTCCTCGAGATCGCAAGCAAACAGCAGCGCCATCGACACAAGGCTAACAACCCATGCCCCGTATTAGGCTCGACAAGATCGTAGCGGGCAAGTGATTGGAGCGCACGCGCGCAGATACATCGTCCCACGCAACTACCCCCCCCCACTCCTCCCATCTCATCCTCGAGTGAATCTTACATTCTCGCTCGCCCTTACGCAATCGTCCGCTCGAGTTACACACACACACACATACACACACCGATAGATCACCACCATCCCCATCGCCCAGTGCATTGGCCCAGCTTTACCCTCCGGATTAACAAACTCGCTTGCTTCCTCATCCACCACCACTCGCGCCTCCCCCCCCGTCTCGTCTCACCTCTCGATCGGGCAGATGTTTTCGTCGTTGGCCGCCCGTTCGCGTCCCACAGTCATGCTGGGCTCGGGAATGCCCCCCACTCTGTTGCGCTTGGCCCGCGGGAAAGCGAATCGCATCCGTCGCTTGCGCACGACGCCGCCGCCGCCGTTGCTGCTGCTGCCGCCGCCGCTAAGGTGAGTGGGAGCGGAGCCGTTCATTCGAGTAGCTTTGTGCGGACGATGGAGGGCAAGCGTGGAGGAGCGGGGTGGTAAAGGCAGGCAGGCAAGGGAAGGGAAGGAAGCAAGCAGGGAGGAGCGCGCACGGGAGGAAGGAGCGAGTGGATGAGCGCAGACGGAGGCTCCGCGTCCTTTTAAGAGGACGGAGGAGGGTGACACCCCCCCCCTCTCACCCACCACTGGCCCCGCCTCCCAATCGCTGACCCCGCCCATAGCTCCGCCCCTTTGTTGCTTAATCCCGCCCTCCGCTCCCGCCCACCGCCCACACAAAGCAGCTTCCCATTGGTCGACGACGCTGAGGGCAACGCCCCCTTTGCCGAGCGAACCCTCCCCCATCTAGCCCCACCCCACCACCCCCCCCCTCCTCCTACCCCACCTCTCCCCCCCGCTCTCTTTGTCTCTGTAGATATGCGCATGCATAAGCCGTGCTCCACTCCGACACAAGGCGCGCGCGCGCATTCATATTCACGCGCACCTCGTGGTGCCCCATCACCGTGCACGCGCCGCGAGGTTACGAAGAACAAACAAAAAAGTGGCGGCGGCTGGGGGGGGGCACGGGGGGGGTGTTAATGATGCCCCTTGTGTGCGTGTCTGTCCGTCGTTGCGTGTGATTCATAGGGCATTTGAGAGACGAAAGGCGACACTGGCGCGCTTTTGCCGCGTGAGTGTTGCGCGCCGTTTGAACTTTCAGCATGCAGCAGCAGTCGACTGCTGCGCAACTCCAGAGGAGGAGGAGGTGGTGGGGGGGGGGTCCATGCGGGTTCACGTGTCCGTGTGTGTGCGCGCTGCGCTAAGGGGTGAGCGGTTCGTGCAGCGGTCAGCGCAACGCGCTACGAACGCGGCCACCCGAGTTTGAATTCCCCCCACCATCGACACCACTGACGATTATTTGAACCTGTCCGCGGTCTCCCACTGGGTCGACTCAGCCTCAAATGACTGCCGCGCCTGGCGTGGTGTGAAACGCATCGCCCCACTGGGGAGACAAAGGCGAGCGGGGCGTGGTGCTGGCCACCCCACCGTGTCGGCCTTCGTAGGTGCTTGCGAACAGCACTTGCTCTGACAGTCTGTTACAGGCTATACGGGGTTGGGTGGGGGGGGGTCTTTGCGAGGTGTGAGTTGCACGTGCGCGATTGAGCGGTTTTCGCACTGCGATACGAGAATTTGGCCACATGTAAGGTGGGGGTCCAGATCCACTGCTTCCAGTGGCGGGCGTTTAAACGAGTTGTCAGACACGAAATGCAAACCTCAGCACCGGGGAGACAAAAACGGCCGGGCGTAGTTCTGGCCATAAGCGTCGATCTGCGCGCAGCTCCGACTTTTTAATAGGTGCTCACAAATAGCAATTGCCAGGCAACGTCGAAGGTGTCTACACGCCGCGGTGGTGGCAGGAGGAGAGGAGGGGGGGGGCGGGTATGATGATGGATTGGTTGATGGGTGATCATTGTGCCTGAGCGATCGCACGCGTCCCTTATTCCACGTGAACGCGCGTGCGTGGGCGAAGCGCGTCTCGCCCCGCGTGTCTCCTCCTGCACGGGGAGCTGGCGCGCGCACGTGCGCGCGTGCGCGCACGTGCGCGAGTGCGCGCGCGTGGGCGAGTGAGCGCGCGCGTGCACGTGAGCGAGTGAGCGAGAGATCTAGAGGAGGTGAAGAGATCTAGCGAGGTGATGGAGTGAGCGAACGAGAGCCGTGTTTTTTTTTTGGGGGGGGGGTTGCGATGGGAACACCGGCGAAGGCATTGCAAGTTCCCCCACCCCCCCCCCCCCCCACTCTTCTCGCACGCAACGCGACATTACCGGGCAACTTCATAACGACTGTCGATTGATCCAACATTGAGAACGAAAATGTTTAGACCGCAGCGCAGGTGGCAGTGGGAAAAAATGAAACTGAACCGAGGAGAAAAGCAAAATATGTGTTTAGTCTGGTCTAGAAAGCACCGATTTGCACGACTGACTACAGACTTCAAGTTGGCAGGAACTGTTCCAGACAACCTGGTCTGTGTATGGTGATCGCTCGCAGAATTATCAGCCATGGTTTCGCCACCTACCTCCCTCCCCGTCACCATCTCGCACGATCCCTGCCATCATTTCCTCCCGGGGGTCAATACAATGAGTACTGCGTCGTGCAGAATACAACTGTGGTTGTTCTATAGATAGACTCAACCACCGCCACGGGAATGTGGAATTTCCACCACTCTAAACGGGAGATGAGCAGAAAATCGCTTGGCTGCTTTAAACCACCCACTTGGTGGAAGAAACATTCATCTAGCAGTGGATTGACAAAGGGCTCGAGAATATACATATACCGATTTTTGCGCAGAAGGTGTGAAACTAAGTCGCACATTCGCACGCACGTGTGTAATAATCATCATCAGCATCATCACTGTTAGCGATCTTTCAATCCAGATTTTGTTAGATCGTGGGTACTGTTTGACCATACTTCACTTCGTTGGTCGAAAGGGGCGGCCGGGAGGGGGGTGGTGGTAAACAAAGGGCCGGTTTCCATATCACTCGCCACTGATGGTAGCCGTGGTCGGGAATCGAACTTCAGTTGACCGGGTTCAGACCGCAGTGCGTTAGATGTTGCTCCACCACCCTCTCCCGGTATGTGCATAAACTACTTTGTATATGCATATACACTCGTTGTAAATATGTACATCGAAATTAAGCTGCCTTGGCATTGGTGGTGCACGAGCAGCACAGATACCAGCAATAACAAAGCAAGCACAACGGTCGTCAATTACCATGTGGCCCGAAACATTTAGAGCTTTAAGACTGGGCGAAGTTTTGAGCAGTTTATCCATGAAGTCTGCACTCTGTATTGTTTCATACTATTTGCTTCTTTCGGTAAAGTCACGTAGGTAGAAATGAAATTAAACTATAAGTTTTATTTATATAAGTTGTATTGAATCCATGCTCTTTGGTTATTTCGCGTGGGTAGAAATACAATAAATACAACTTGTGGTAGGTAGAAATAAAATAAAACTTAAAAATTAGCTTATAGTTTTATTTAATTTCTACCTACTATAAGTTTTAGAAATCAAATAAAACTATAACTTTAAGAAATCAAATAAAACTATAAGGATAGGTAAGTAGCTCTTGAGCAAGTTTTATTTTATTTCTACATTAAGTTTTATTTTATTGTATTTCTACCCACGTGACTTTACCGAAATAACCAAAGATCATGGATTCCTGCAGTCACGAAAGCTTCAAATCTACATTGTTTTTTTTACACGTAACGTCTTCTATTAGATAAACTGTTTATAACTGGCCAATTTTAAAACTGCCCATCAGGATACATTTTCTTAAAATGTCATTCTTATCAGGCACCCGCGGTCTCCAACTAATGTTTGATCTCTCTATTTGTTTTATCTCTCTGTGCTATGAAGAAGAGTCATTCCCCGAAACGTTGCATAATGTAAATTTTTTCTTCATTGTTTGGAGGATAAGTAGGTAGCTCTTGAGCAAAAAGCCTTCAAAACGCGGACGGTATGAGCACGTTCGGTGCAAAAAGAGCTTTCTAGCTCATCGGATTTCTCCAGTATACATATCAGAGGAGAAGGAGCAATCTCCCATTGAGTCTGTGGTGGAGTGCATCGATTCTAGCTGACAGCACTTATCCCAAACCGTCTGTTAAAGCCCATCAGGGGGATCTTTGTTTTTATCGATAAAATAGTCAGTTTATTTCAGACATAAGGCCCAACCGAGCCAAAGAAGCTCATTTATTATGATTATTAATTACGATCATTTCTCCAAATAAGGTCTCGAGAACAACAATGCATATCCCCCCATTCACACTTGGCGACATTCAAGTTATTACAACAACACATACAGAAGTCCCAGGACGCACTGTAACCACAACACCGCAAGCAACATCAGCAGCAGCACAGGGGACACGCTGTTCATGGGTGCACGAGTTGAGGTCACTATGCCCGTCGTCTCGCTCGCTCTCTCTCCGTGTCGCCTTGCCGCGCCTGCAGAGCCCTCTGGTGGCAGCTGCTCGTAGCATCGGAATCACTTTGCCCGCGGGTTAAAGTGTAAAACGTATTTAAAAGTACCGCATGCAAATTTATTTTATTTTACCAGGTATACCTGTTTTTCAGAAGCGACCTGGCCACAAATGATAGCTCAACGAAGTGGCGTATCATCGTGTAGAAATTGAGAGCAACCAAATACCCTGAACGCAGTCTGATTATTAATGTGGAGGGGAAAACCGGAGGATTCTGAGAAAATTTCACGCGACCACGGGGAGAGAGAGAGACACGAAAACTTAAAATATACAGCAGGCACCAGGGTGGGCTTCGAAACCACGACCTCCTGCATACCAGGCGAGGGAGTTAACATATCGCCACGTTTGAACCATGGGGCTCTCAGCAGAGTCCTGCTGCTACATTGGGTTTTTATATGTTTTCGTAAAAGATGTTTTCAGCCAAATAATAATGAGTTGTGTTATTATTCATATTATACACGTGGGAGGGAGGAGGGGGAAATCGGAGCACCCGGAGTAAACCACGCGGATGGACACAGATGGGGATTAGTCAACAAAAACGTAACGCATTCATCAATAGCAATGATCTTAAAAGGTAACAAAAAACTATATAATAGGCGACGTTGCAGGCAATGCCCCTTCTCCATACCACATACATAGGTCAGAGAGAGATATCGTGGGTAAATAAGAGTTGGAGACTGCACTTTACACCGTGGGGCCTGATAAAAGTTGAATTTTGCTCAAGAAGCTTCCTGTTCTTGCTCTGCCGCCAACGCAGTGTCGCCCAATAATGTGTTTAACAATGCACACGGATGCGCCGCCTGATTACTATACCGCTCCACCACTGGCGCAGGTACAAGGGGACCCTTAAACCAGCAGTGGATAGACCATGGCTGAGAATGACAATGATGATGATGAGGTCCTGTTTGTGCATATCGTGTATTGCATCGACGTAGGGTATTGCTGCGTTGTACCGAGCCATTGTTGATTATCCGCAGAGTTGGTGTGCGATCAACATTTTTATTGAAGAAAAAAATGAAAAACCACAACACACAGTTGCTCACCGAGGGCCCAACAATTTCCAAGCGGCCAGCAACAGACAGCACCGTAAAAGTTGCAATAGATATGAGGGTGAACACGTTTTTGGATTTAACCGAGAGTTTTTTTTCTCTCTCAG